CCCCCGCACCCCCTTTCAAGCCCCCGCCATGGCCCCGCCCAACGGCCATGTGCATCGCCGTAGGGCTACTGATGCATCCCAGCGGGCCCCACCTGGGACGTCTACAGAGGAAAACACGAAGGGGATCGCCGCCGACGCCGCAACCGCCTCGGGCAGCGGCCCCGAGTCGATCAGCACGTGCTCGCCCTCCGCGGTCACCACCCCCACTGCAAAGTCCCGATCCAGCTCCTCAAAGGTCGGCGGCAGCAGCTGCGCGAGGCGCTCCACGACCGCGTCCAGGGACAGCAGGCCGCCGCGCCACGGCTGCAGGCTGGGCTTGAGCAGCTGGAACGGCGGCGAGGCGCGCAGGTGCTGCGCGACCTGGGGGTTTGGTGCGTCAGGTGAGCGGGGTCTGCGGTTACAAGCTGCTGTGGTCAATGTCGCAGGAAATAAGCCGGGATCGCTTCGCCAGGCGTCGTCGCTTGAGTGGGCTGCTGTTGTTGTTTTGCGGACGAGGAACAGGCCAGCGACCAGGCCACGCCGGAGGTCAGTCCGCTCGCAACGCGTGTGGCGCCGGGTCCCACCTCAAGAGGGGTGTAACCGGCAGCATAAAGCGAGCCTGCCAGGGCGCCCGCACTGGTCCCCATGATGCCCGAAACATGGACGCCCGCCTGTGCCCCGCAGTGGGGCGCAAGGGGGGGTTGGGCAGCGCTGTCAGCAGTGCGCCGCTGTGGTGACGCAGGAGCTAAGCAGATTCAGGGGGAGCCCTTCATGGTCTGATGCGAACGAGGTTGTTGCCAGGAGCTCCCGCCACCTCGTCAATGTGTGACCGATCGCAAACGTCGGGTCTCTCGGTGAGGCGGTCAAACCCCCACAGCCTGCTCCCTCGAATGGGTGCCCCTCGCACGTGTCGCAAAGGCCAGTGGCACGCGTGCGCGCACCTCTTCGACTGCCTGCAGAAAGCCGCTGTGGTTTGCAAATGCCAGGAAGCCGCTTGACAGCACCACGTCGAGCGTCTCGCCTGACATGCCGGCCAGCGCGGTGGTGGCGTACACGATCTCATACGGGTTTTGATCATTTTACTCGATCCTGTACCACCGCATGAGCGCGCTCGGAGAACCTTGGCACAACTCGCGCGCTCTCCATGGCCGACACACCGCCGGGCCCCCAATGGCCGAGCCCACGGTTCTCATGTTCTCACCTTGGCGCATCCGAGACGTATGCATAGAAGGGCACAACCTGGTGTGACATGCAGTTCGCTGCCTTGCCCGAGGGTGGCAGCGCCCGGTGTTGTGTTGCGGCAACATCGACGATCAGCGCCAGAGTGTGCCTGTTCGACGGGCGGTGCCAATCAAACTGATAACCAATAATAAGGCAACCTCGGTGGATGACCGTCTGAGACCGGGGAGTGATGCTGACCGAAACGCCTGCTGCGGAGACCGAGCTGAAAAGCCCACAAAATAATTTTCAAATAACGGATGTATGAGACCTGCTTGGAGCCGCCACTCCAAGACGAGTGAGTGTGTGTTGGTGCTCTGCTCCAAACAGCTGGCAATTCGATGCGGCGCGGCCCATCGCATTGCTCGAGTGCCACGCCCACACAATCAAATCAACTGCCGTTGAATTGTGGCCGGTGGATTACCATCGCAGATTCAGCAACCTTCTGGCTTTTAAATGCCAGGTCTTTCGTCGAGACAGCGGCCTATGCCAATTGGAAACGGGCGGCGCCCTCCGGCACCTGAAACGGGCACCAGGGTTACACTAATATCACTCATCCAGGGACTGGGATCGGGATGCGCCCTAGTTCAATAAATGACCTCCTAATTCTACAGAGGTTATGCATGCCCAAGGCAGGGGCTGGAGTGCGGTGAGCGGCGCACGGCGTGGGCCTTGAGCAGCGGCAAAGCAAGGCGAAGCAAACATCTCATGAGCACCACTTGCTACTGTTTTGTCCAGTTGACAAAGCACAAGCTGTTGACAGTCCAACAAAGTGCATAATGCGGGATTGCACAAAGCGGAAAGGGCAGCACCAGGCACTGCACATCCCGAGCATGCCTAAGAAGCAAACCCTCCACACCCCCAAAAATACGACTGCTTACATAGTCGCGAGACGGCAGCAACGGTGCAGGAAAGGAGTTGGGCACGTTCGAGAGGAAGACGGGTTCAGGCGGCGCGGCGGCCGCGCCGGCTAAATATAATCATCGGGTGGCAGTGACAGAGCCCAGGGCACAGGCACCGCATGTGCTGCGTCGCAAGGCTAACAGTTCCTGCATCAGAGGTCCTTGAAAGCTTTCCTCCCTTGAATCGGACATTTCTTGACTTGCGATGCTCGGGTGGCGCGCAATCAGATTGCAGTCGGAGCTAGCACACACACCACCCTGTATGCGCACACCGTTCGTAATACTTCACAGGAGGCCCCGGCGAGGAGGTTGGGGCCGCTCACATTGTGCTGTCAGCGCTCGTAACATGAGCAGCAGTGTGGCAGCTCGTGCCCAGTGACCTGCGGCACAGCCAGGCAGCTGGCTGGACAATGACCGCGATCAGGCAAACTGCAGCCGTGCAGTTTTGCGCGCGCAGTCTCACCGCTTGTATCAATATCTGCAATTTTTGTATCACTTGTGCCGGTACCCTGTATACCGGCTATTGACTGCGATTTTGGCGGTGATCTCGCTCTGAAACCCACCATTCTTGGCCACGCCAAGAGCTGGAACACACATTCAATCATATATCATCTATAAGCTCAATCTGCGCGGCGCACTCATCCGCCGTCCACTGCTTCGTCACGCGACTGTCACCACTAGGCACACCGCCAGATTCTAGGCAGCACATCGAGGCAGCGTGATGGACCCGCTCAAGGGCGCCCCCCTGGCCGTGGAGGAGGTCCAAATGGTGGTTGGGCACGCCATGACCGGGGCTCTGACCCTGGCGATGGTGTACTGCGGTGACAAACTGGTGAGTGCTGTGCGCCCAAAACGCAGCTGGTTGCACCAAGGGCCATCCGGTCGCGCTTAACAGGTTGTCAGGGCCAGTCTTGGTGCCTGCGGCCCCCTCACATGCTTGCACGCTCCCTCGGCACCCACAGCATGCGCGGCCCCACCCATATCCTCCCAAACATCGTCACGCGCAGGGGTTGTACGCGGCTCTGAAGGAGGCCGGCACCCCGCTGACCAGCGCTGAGCTGGCGGGCAAGCTCCGCCTCTCGGAGCGCTGGGTGCGCGAGTGGCTGCTGCAGCAGGTGGGCGCCTGGAACCTTTTACAGGGAGCCAGGGGGATGCTTTCTGCCTCCTGGGAGGGCTGTGCCGAGGCCGTCCCGCCCGCGAGGCGGCTGCGGCTAGTCTCAGCCTGAGCCCGCGGTTCGGTACTCGGCACCCTCACGACCTCAAACCTCTTTCCCTGCTGCGTCCTGCGGCGCAGGCGTCCGTCCGCCTGGTGGAGTGCGACAAGGCGGCGGGGCGCTTCTGGCTCACGCGTGCCCAGCAGGTGTGTGTGTGGGGGCGGGGGGGGAATGGGCCTTCGGGCGTCGAGGCGCCCAGGTAGGGGTCGAGCAGCACCGAGGCGGACACTGGCACGCTCTTGTTGCCTCGTACAGCTGCCATCACCAAGCGGACAGCGGCTTCGCAGCTCCTGCGAGTGGCCGCTCTCCTGAATGTGTCACGTCCCTGCCGCAACCCATTGTTTCCACAATCAGGATGTTATGGCGAATGAGGAAGGCCCCGATGCCAGGTCAGCGGCCCCAACAGGCCAAAGAGCGCAACACCCTGCATCGGCCTGCCAGCCGCACGGGCATGTGTGATGCTCCTCCACAGGGAGGCCGTAGCTTGCGCATGCCACCAACATCGGCTGCGCGCCGACCATCCCGTCCCCTTGCGCTGGCGTTGACGAGCAGCACCCATCTCACAGCCGTGGGCCACCCTGCCTGAACAGTTCCGCGCGGCCTTCGCCCTCCCCCCGCCCGCCCTCGCAGCCCCTACTTTTTTGCGGGCTTTGGCGGCGGCGTGCTGGCCCTGACAGACCACCGTGACGCCCTTTTGGAGTGCTTCAAGACCGGGGGTGAGCGCCTGCGCGCCAGCCCAGTCCGGCGGCCGCGCGGGCCTCGGGCTCGCGCAAGCCAGGGGGCTCGCATGTGTGCATACCTGATCGGTGCATTGCGCCACAACCGGCCTCTGCAGTCGCCCGCCTGGCGTCGCTCAAACCTTTGGTCAACAACTTTCCCGCGCGCAGTCGGGATGACGTACGACCAGCACGGCAAGTCGTGCGCCTCGGGGGTCAAGAGGGAGCTGGTGAGCTTGTGCGGTACACGATCACGTTAACAGAGGGCCGCACAGAGCAGCCCAGCCGCCCGCTGCATGCATGAGGTGGCATCGAGGCGACCTCAGGGGCCGGCGCTACTCCGATCCGCTCTATCAGCAAGGCCCCTCGGCTGCCCCACATTGCCCAGGTTCCAGGAAATGCGGCCCTGTCTCAAGCTTGATGGCGGCCCAACGCTCGCCCAACCAGTCTGCTGCTGCTGCCCCCGCTCTCGCCGCCGCGGCCTGCAGTGACGACCCCGTCTCTCCCCCTTCCCCTGCAAACCGCCCCACCGAACCCGCAATGGCCGCAGGGCGTGTGGACGAGGCACTTCCTGGTGTCCAAGGTGTCCAGCCTGCCGGGCCTGAGGGAGCGCCTCGAGGCCGGCGCCCAGGTCGCCGACGTCGGCTGCGGGTGAGGTTTTGG